TGTCAGAAATGATTTTCGTCTGAGTAGCAAAAATATACATTGAACTCTCAACAGGCCATGTCCGTTCATAATAATGATGTATTAAAAGAGAATTTCACTATGGAATATTAACTATGATAAGTTTTTGTTGATTTTAGCTTCCTACTTTGAATCTCTTGCAATCAGATCAATCTAAATTGACAAATGATCAATGGAATCATCTCTCGAATTTATCTCATTGGTACGATGAACATAGCGGCTTCTCTATGGGTGAACATTTTTTATACGAGCAAAATGTTCTCCCGATTAAGTTACGTTTTAAATGTCAACCATTGAAAAATTTCATCTTAGCGGCTATGGATAAAGCTGATCTACTGTACAAAAACAATCAAGATTTTTTCTTTTTAAGTGCAAATGATCGTTCAACGCTATTTCACAATACAATCAAACATGTGGGAGCTCTTGCTTCACATTTCATTTATCATCAAGTTCGATTGTTTGATTATTCAGCTTGTGTCAAATCACTTGAGCTCCTCTTTGGACAAACTACAATAGCTGCCGCTAAGCGTATAGATGATTTACTTGATTTTGATGCCATTATATTGAAATTAGTTCTGGCCATTCTGATATTCTCGACAATTAACTATACAGTTTATTGCAACAATGTCTCAAACAATCTAACAAATATTAAGGAAGTTCTATGTAATCAAGACAGGTATGCTGAATTAGCATGGCGATATTTGATCTACAAATACAATCATGATCAGACTGTCATCTGTTTTTCTAAACTGATACGATGTCTATTTTGTATGCATGATACTATCGTTAAAGCCTATGAAGTTCAAGAGTACACAAATATCATCGATACTGTTGTTCAACAGACCGAACAAAATATTCGTCTTGATGATTGACTGTTTTTTTTCCTATTATGTTAAGTGTAACAGTATGATATTAAGAGCTAGTCATTCTTCTTTAATAAATAGTATATATAGATGACATGATTGTTCTCGAGAAGTGCTTCTGTTTTGTGGAACTCACATATATTTTCGAAGAAAATAGTGAGTGTAAGTTTTAAGTCGAAGTTTTGAGGCTCCCCATTAAAGACTTTAGCAATTGAGGAGAACAGGCGTTAGACTCCTTTGCAAGAACTCTTTAGCAACGAAAAACGGTGCTGAGTAGCATTAATGACATAACTTGGGCTGTTCTAACAAGTTCTAGAATATTCCAAAGTCTTCCTCGAAATTTGAATAGTTGAAATATGTTTGTCAATGTTCTATATAATCTAGTTTTTGATTTTTGCGCAGATAAAAATTTATATGCAACATGTCAATGATGATGGGTAATGGTGCATTGATTTGCGACAGTTGTCATATGATCAACATAAAAAACGGCAATTAATCAAATTATAGCTTTGGAAACTAATCAATATGAGTATTTGTCACTTGATTGAGATATACAATACTCGACAATATATCTTTTAGACGATTTTGTTTTGTGTATAACTTTCTTATAAAGTTGATTTTAGAGGTATGGCTTGTGTCAAAAGTATAGCCGGTGTCTATACAATATTCACAGAAAATTTCACCTCTAAATATTGAGTCATAATGGAACTGGAGATATAACAATGTGAAGTAGTCATATCTTGTTGGATGATCTTTTAAATTGAGTTATTTTTTTTACAATTGTTAAAAAAACAACTGAAACCATATAAATAGAAAGAGCAAAACACAAGCTACGTTTTAATGAGGAAAATCTTCTAAGAGCAAAATGTCTATGAATTGAAATGCTTATTTTACCACAGACAACTGACAATGTTCATATGAATTCTTTATCATTTCTATATAGGGATTAATTTTTCTGTCCAAATATCATATTTGAAAGAGTGACAAATGCTGCATAACACTAGAACGCGACATTTAGAGGTGAAATTTTCTGTGGATATAGTATAGACACTGATTATGCTTTAGACGCAAGCTGCATCTCTAATGTCAACTTTATAAGAAAGTTATGCACAAAACAAAATCGTCCAAAAAATATTGTCCAGTATTGTATAATAGTAAGTAAGACCTGCTGCTGTAGATCTACTGGATATGTACAACAGACTTATTTGCCATTCAATTCAATGTTTAGAATAGTAAGAATGTTAAATTGAGAAAAACGAAATAAGAAAAAGAAAAAAATTCTGTTCGAAACATAGAAATAAATAAGACAAAGCCTTACTCTGCTAATCGATTATCGTATAAAGCTACTATACTCTACGAGAGATTTTTCACTTTAGCTATTCTCTAAAGAACATACGAGAATTCCATATTTGAGTCCCAAAGGGAATACGCTAACAAGCTTTTCAATTCTATTTTATTGGAATCGTGATGATGTTTGCCTTATGTTTTGTTTATTCTGAAAGAAAGAAACACAAACAGAGTTTTATCTACTGAACTTATGATTCGTTGAGTACGTCGAATTTGAATGTGTTCAGCAATGATTGTTCACATTTATATTCAAGTTCTTTTAAGAAAAGTCAGATTGCAGAGATATGATAGATACATTTTCAGTAGTGGAACATAGTCTAACGAGGGAAAGCAGCGGATTATTCAATTGCTTTTAAAATGTTAGTAATGCGAACTTATAGAGCTTGTTGAATTATTAACTGATATAATAATCATTCGGGCTAACGGCGCGTTTACGAGTAAATTTCTGATAATCAAAGTTTGCATCGGTCTATCCATACCACATATGCACATGTTTAAAAAGATAAAATAGTCTTTTTTTTTACGTTTTTGAGTTTGATAATCATTTAATTAACATATATCAGTGTAATAAATCTCAATATTGAATCACAGAAACTATTCCATCGACTCATTGTACTAACAATAATAGAATACAAATATACTTCTATTGACAACTGAAAACTTCATAGATTTTTTGAAAAAATCTCAAAATAATTTTTGTTTTTCTGAAAAAAATGAAAATATCTTACTCTAGAATAATTTCGTTAAGTTCTTCAAAACTCTTTCCTTTTCTTTTTTGAATTCAAGAGCTACTTCTAGGTGGTTCATATTGTGACATTCCACAAAGTCAAATACGACTGATGTCTTGATATTGTTGATATCAAATGGAATATCATCTTCATCTTCCATAGTTACTTTCAAAAATTCATATGTTTCTTCGTACATCTTATGAAATGATTCATCACCAACATCACTGCAAATGTTCAACGACTTGATATAATATGTACCTTCACAATCGCCATCGTCGTAGATAATATATATGAAGAGAATGTGGTATTGGTCCCTTGTTGACAAGATTTTATTGATATCAAAATCAACAATAGACGACGTGATGATCAAGTTATGGATGTGAGGTGTGTGGATGGTGTGGATGTTGGTCCATACTCACGCATCTACGCCAATGCCCATCCACACTCAAATTCTACGTATATACATTTTTTTCTGATGTTTTCACCAAGACTAATACTTCCATAAAGAGACAGAACACTAAAAAAAGGCGAGATCCTTTGTTTATGGGAGATCCCTAGGAAACTGTTACGGGTAACATAATATGTGAACAGCTCTTATAATATCTGAAGGTGAAACACTTTTTCATAGTGAGGAACATCAACTTTAATGTTACCATTCGAAGAAACTAAAAAGTGATTGTAACATAATCTTAGGTTCCCTTTATGAAAACCATATTTTCTCTTCGTTTAAAGTCTGTCACATCTTCCAGCTTTCATATTTCATTGTAATAATAACAGCTTCCTATCTTTTCTATTTCATTTGATGATTTATTCGGAATATTATGCTTCAAAGTCTCATGATTTGAGACATTTTCAAGGCTTTCATCGTTTGCTGGTTAAAGTCTATGAAGAAAGAGTTCTTTCATGATGCATATTCATTTAAAATAGAGGAAGTGGATATGGTTTCTCAGAATAATATGGTTGGAATCAAAACTGAACCATTAGGAACGAGATTCAAAAGGATTTGATTAGATGATGCTAGCAAAATATTTTCTTATGTGAAGGATTTTAGAAAAAACTTTGGATTCCAACTTCAATTTTAGCTTATTCACGAAATCTACTAATTCGAATGCGCATTACATTGCGCAAATGGGACAACAAGGAAAAATGGCTGCTATCAACTTTACGTCGCTAAAACAACACTTGATGAAACAAAACAGGAATTTCGTACGTTCCTATTATAAGTATACATGTACTCTTCTAGATAACTGAACAAAGTTCGTGGAGAGCTTTTTATCAAAAGTTGGCTAACTATTTTCCTTATCTTTATTTTTCCTTGTTGTCCCATTTACGCAATGTAATCTGCATTCGAATTAGTTGACTTCGTGAATAAGCTAAAATTGCAGTTGGAGTCCAAAGTTTTTTCTAAAATCCTTCGTACGAGAAAATATTTTGCTACTATCATCTAAGTAAATTCTTTTGAATTTCGTTCCTAATGGTACAGTTTTGGTTCCAACCATATTATTTTGAGAAGCCACATTCATTTCCTCTATTTTAAATGAATATGGATCATGAATGAACTCCTTCTTGATATACTTTTACCAGCAAATGATGAAAACCTTGAAAATGTCTCAAATCATGAGACTTTGAAGCATAATATTCCGAATAAAGCCTCAAATGAAATAGAAAAAATAGGAAGCTGTTATTATTACAATGAAATATGAAAGCTGGAAGATGTGACAGACTTTAAACGAAGAGAAAATATGGTTTTCGTAAAGGGAACCTAAGATTATGTTACAATCACTTTTTAGTTTTCTCCAAGTTTTTCTTCGAATAACAAGAGACGAAAGAGAGAGAGAGATGATGACATTAGAGAGTACTTGAGTAGTCTCACATACACATATCAATATCGTTCATTGCTGAAATCAAATAAAGGTTTTTGTATGTATATATAAGGAAGGCCTATAACTATGTTAAAGCTTGTAAATAAAAAGAACAAATTTTTGACTTGAAAAGAAAAGAAAAATTACAAGAATAATTATTATGAAAAATTCTTTGCTGTTAATTAGGTTGTCTGTTGTTGTGGAATATTTTCTTCTCGTTCTGTTTGTATTAATGTTCGTGTATGAATATGTTTAATACGTCGATCATTTTTCGCTAAATCAGTTGTTGCTTCAACCATATCTCTTAATGCATACGATAATGTATGAAATGCTAAAACATCACCAATCGATTGATTTGATACAAATTCTGTACGTATAAAACGATTATTAGCATAAATAAATTGTATTAATGATGCAAACATTAAATCAATAGAATTACGTAATGATGGTAATGGTTCATGATCTTCTTGTCAATTGTTACAACAAGAAAAAAATTTATAATAATTTGTAACTAGTGGTAATGCTTCAAATTGTGGTACTGCATAAAAAGATGGACCACGATTTAAAGTTCTTTGAGTTTTTAAAAGTTTTATTTGTTATTCATCATATGAATCTTCACGACATAATTGGTGTAATTCAAATGATCCAACATCAACAGCTGTTTGTTTTTCAATTAATTGTCCTGATAAAGATAAAACTTTTTGAATATGATTTTCAAGTGTACGAATATGTTCAAGTACAGGTTGATATAATGTTGTATGAGCTAAACGAAATGATGTTGATGAATTAATTGATATGAGAGTTTTTTGTTCAAATTTTGGTGCTGATTGTGGAGAATAAGTCATGAAAATTGTTAAAGGTATATCAAGATCATTT